ATATAAAACGGTCATTCGGGCACGATTTTGCGGCGGAATACGCGCAATTATATTAATAGTATGAGGGAATTATGAAGCGAAAGACAAAAATTATGATTGTGCGGTAATTGGCTTAAAAACACCATTTTGCAAGCCTGTAATAAAAATATTGACTATAGTTTTCCTTTGTGGAAGAGTGGAACATATTTTGAGAGACTCTAGTAGAACCGTCAAACGATTAAACTTCTACTTATTAACGAACCATTTTAATTTATCCTCCATAATAAATATTTCTAACGCTATACTTCACTATTACTTTCATAATTGGAAGTATCTACTACTTCATTGTTCGACCTACGTTAATTCAGGAAACAATTCGAACAATCAATTTGATTTGGATTAGTAGATATTTTAAACAAGCATTAAATTAGAAAAACTATTTCGCAATTTATTGTTTTAATTAAAAATAGGTGAAAAATTAAAAAATCAATATTATGCAGAGTGAATTTTTTGAAAACTATGTTTTAATTCGCATATTGTTCAGAATAATTAATTGGGCTTGTTTACCCACTACCTACAAATTCTGATGGAAAAAATTTAAATTAAACAGTGCTGGAACATTTCCTTTTAAAAAGATAATAACGAACGCACTTCTTGTAAAACTATTAGTTTAACAAACGATTTAACAATGCATATTAATGGTGAGTTATCTTAAAGACTGTAACGGATAATTTACCCGTATACTCGGCTTTCTCTTGCTATAAAAAACGCTATACGACCATTTTCATTATATTTTAATCAATTTTTTTCGACTATCTAAAAACTGACAATTAATTCCCTTCGAAATATTAACGTTGTTTAATTAATCGAAAGCATAAAATACAGTCATCATTTACAAAATTGGCCGAATCGACGTAATTGCCCGCTAAAATGATAAAACGACGCGAAAGTTCGCAAATATATCATATGCCGATAATTAGCGGTAGAAAACTAATTGCCTCGGCGGAATTTTAATTTTAATTCTCAACATTGTTCTCGAATTTTCATATCAATTACCGCACCGTGTTTATTTTTATAGTCTTTGTCGGCTACAGTTATGCCTATTTAATTGGTTCTGGAGAATGAGTGAACGAGTGAAATGACTGATTATAAGAGTCAGTAATTGAAATTATATTCAGTGGTGGATCGTCATCGCAATTTACACTACGTTAATATTTTCCTACGCAAATTAGAAACCTTAAAAGTTTTCATCAATTTTACTAAACGTATAAACTCGGTGTATAAATTGCAGCATTCTACATACAAGAAATGTATTTTTAAATGCTTGTAGACCCGAAGGAAATTTAAAATCGACTACGTTCCTGGAGCTTAAAACACGCACCGAAGGTAATTAATTTACTTAATTAAATCAAAATCATCAGCTGCTCCGATTACTTGACATTTGCACTCGCTAATAAAGTCACGTGATAATGACCCGATAAGTTCTGGTGGATATTAGCGACCATGGAAAAATGGACATCATTAATTTTATTTATTCTTTGTACGCACGTTTTCGCCGTGCTGCTGTCGTTGTTTTTTATTACTTAAACCGAAAAGTCACACGAGAAAATGGTTCATAAATTTTAGGCATATCTGATGGAAAAGTATTAGTGGCTTTTTAATTAAGGTAATCCGATGGGTTTCGTATGCCTATTCAATTATTTATTTCTCAAGTTAATTGCGAGATTTTTTTCTGCACAGGTATATTCGCTAAATTGCAATTATGAGGGATTTCGAATCAACCGATTATGCATTCCGTACACGTTTCTATTTTTCATTTTTTAATTGCAAACTTTAGATATTCAATACCTTTTAAATTCCTCTACACGTCCGTTTAAAAATCTCGTTTGAAATGTCTTATTTAGAGGAACTGCCTACTCAGAAGGAAAATTATGTAATTACACGATATTAAAGAGATAATCTCGAAAATAAAACCTGCATTGGGCGATTCGAGAATTCGATACAATCGTTCTAATGTACTTACACAAGTGGTGGATAATTATACAGGACTCCGTATAAAAAGAAACATTTTCTAGCACTTCGGCCGACCAACTGGCAGAAAATATTATAAGCGCGATAAACATCTTTATATGAGACTTTTGACAGGTGTTTTTCCCCGGCTCCGCTCATATTCGCCGACTCCGGCCAGTTTCCTCAAATCGGTAAAATAAAACCAGATAATTAAATTTGAAAAATGTTTGTTTCGGAAATAACCCCCCTTAAAAAAGTTGGTATATGAAGCGGCTAAGGGGAGATTCCTTGATACGGTTATTGGTGTGTGTGGTCTCAAAATGGTAAGCAGATGTCAAGAAATTTTATGCCAATTAACGGGGAAAGAGGAATCTTTGCTTGGATTACCTCATTTATACGCATGTTGAATAAATATTCAATTTGAAACTTACTGAAACAATATACGAATATAGTTTTAACCCCTTTACTGTTTATCTTATCCTAACAATGGCTAATTACAGCGATAATAATTTGGTTTACATAATTAAACAGTGCAATTAATTCCTAATTGCCTACATAGAAAAAGGTGTAACATTCAATTAAGGATTTTATTTCCTCTTCTGCGGAGAGAGAAAGGAATAAAAGAAGCGTTGGAGCAGCTCGAATAAAGCAAACAAACAGTTTTGAACAATAAGAATGGCAATTTTCGTTTTTGTTTTCGGAAAGATTATCATTATAAAACCATTCATCTTCATTTCGGGAGAGTGTCCACTGACGCGGTAATTATTATTGAAAATACTGGAGCTTCAACCGCCGCGTTATTTCTTTTAGGCAGAGCCTTAAAGTGGAAAATAGACCGTAATCTTGATGAATCAAGATAAAATCTGTTAACGGAGATATTAACATAGAAGTTGCGACAGGTGCGGATGTAATTATATAAAATTATAATTCACTGCCTACATATAGATTATATTACAAGATTTTAATATTTTCGGTGGTATCGTTAAGTATACACAACTGGTCTAATGATCCTCATTCCAATTCGGTGCTTTAAATACTTCCACTCGTTTTTAAATGGTTTCCTTGTAAAGTCGGTTGAAAAGGTGTTGCTCCAAATTGCCGGTGTGATTCCACAATTATCGCAAGTAAACATTTTTAGCTTATATAAAAAAATACTTAATTTTGCACCATTATTAACTAAAATTGTTTAAAAGTCACTAGCACCTACTTAGTGCTTTCAGGAGCTGTATCATATTACATAGTAAATATTTATGAGTTATACTAAGCATAATTAATCTTGATCATTGTCTATTATGGAATAAATCATTCCTGGATATAATTCGGAGTCTGATCGTGTAATAATTATTTTACAAAATTTATCAAAAAATCCCCATAAAAGTTTTAAGTTATACGGTTTGTGTTGCTGATAAAAATCAAGTCACTTCTCAATAGACTACCTGCCGAGTTCTGCGATACAAGGCATCACGATAAGATTAGCTTACATTAATTCTACACCTGACACCCTTATTAATATCACTATGATTTATTAAATGAAACTTTTTTGTTATTTGATATACAAATGTAAACATAGAAAATGGTAATATATACAGGGTAACCATTACTCAATTTATATTAAACGATGAAGATACTGTCAGAAGAAAAACGGTCTTTTAATAAATGAACGCTTTATTGGGTCGCATTTTTACCAAATCATTAATATTCCAGGATGACTTAATTGGGTTAATTCTATATATAAATATAATCGATAATTTCAAATTCTTCTCAAATTTCAAACGAATTGATAAGTTTAATCGCTCATTTTTCACTTCTATAATATTATAAGGTGACTGTAAAAACCTCGTCTACTTATTCACATAAATTTTGAAACACACGACGATAAATTCAGCTGTCACCTGATATCTTCATGACTGCAACCGAAAGCGCGCTTTCTTACTGCCGTATCAAATGCTGCAGCCCGTATCAATGATTATTAACTAAAACAACAAGCCTACACGATGTTCTTTGAGACGTTGTTATCTATAGGGAGTCAGCTTCTTAGCGCATAAACATAAATTTCGACTGGTTTTGTTGATCGGCAGTCGCCAACGCACTTCAGTTTTCAACTCCTTTTAGGACAAACTGCACACCTTTTACTATATAACTCAATCTAGTAATGTATACAAATTTTACACATCTATACTTTTAAAATCAGCAAAGATTCGTTTATGAATTACTCGTTAGCATTGTTTTAGTTGTAGATGAAATTTGTTGTAAATGTAGTTTAAAAACGAGAGTGTTGGGAGTGCAGTTGAGCCGGTCCCGCGTAGGAAACCCAATACGCGTTCGATAAGCGAAAGCAAATTAAGATTAAGTTGTCGATGCCAGTGTAAGACAGAAGGTAGTCGGTGGCCAGGTAGAAAGGGCCTTAATCGATTTTAAAAGTGTTCGATGGGCAATAACGATTAGTTTAAAACCGAAAAAATAAGGATGTTACGGCCGAGCCGCACACATCGAACGATTTTAAATGATGTTTACAGGGATTAGGTAATAGGTTTATAGAGAAAAAATGTTCGATTTTTTGGTTTTTGGTCGATTTTCCGTTCGAGTTCCTCCTTGATCCTTAACTGTTACGCCCTCCTTACATATAGCTTCTTGCAGGGCAACAAAGCACAGGTGCGACGTCATGGTTTTGATTGATTATCGATTTGATTGATTGGTTTTAAATAACCTCCAATTACCGCGCAGCTTGGTAATGAAATTAATTTTTTTTCTGGTCAAACAGGCGCACTTTCTCAGCTCAATTAAAAATACCTTGTAAATAGGGGATCGTTTGAATTATGCATGAAATAACCCCGGGAGTTTAGAAACAGCAGCAACTAATTAACATTTCATTGCATTACAAAAACAACCTCGTTCAGTCATTAAACTTTCTTAACAATTAAACAATAAAATCAGTTCGTAAATCTTGCATCACCAGTTTAGTAGAAAAGTTACGATGGTTAGTTTAATGTAAGCAACAGAAATCAATTTACCTTCCGCTCTTGGTTATGATCATCTCGGTTCCGAGATCGTTAAACTTGTCCCAGAGCTCCTTGGTCTCCAAATGGCAGGTAACGTTCCTCAGGTCCTCGCTGGTGCACTTCTCCAGCAGAAGGGGATTCCTGGTGGGCGATCGCGATCTCCTGCCGCTCGATTGGGACTGAGCTGGGGCTCCGGATTCCGACGTGGAGGACACGTCCACGGGGGAGTCCCGGCCGCTGCTCTCGTTGTCGGCGCTCACGATGGTGCAATCCAGGCCCATTAGTTCCGGCGTCGAAGCTACCGAAGGGGATGTGTCTACGAACTTTTCTGGAAAGGCGGAGGAAGGTCGAGCGTTATTAATTTGTAAATTGCGATGGGAATTGTTGCGGTAATGTGCAGGTTTCTTTACAGAGGTAATTGAAGAAGTTGCGACAACTCGCCTCTGGTATAATCGGTAATGGATTGTATTACCATGATACAATTATCTACGAATGTGGAATTTCGCCTCTAGTAACGTCAAGAGTTGAGTTACTCTTAAATTGAGATAATTTATCTTTGTAGCAATTTTTAAGTAAAAGTCTTATTCCATTAAACACTATTAGAAAACCGAGTGTTTAAACTGATATTTAATATAAATAGCTGTAAAGCGGTGCAAACACCTTAACAGGTAATAACTAGAATAATTAAAGATATTGGAGCAATTTCAAGGAACAATTATATAATTTTCTTATCGTTAATGAGATAATTATTGCCGTCGCCAGAATATTGCTTCCCATTAAAACATTAATCAATATGACACCTGACACTTCAACCTGTAATCACAATTTAGTTATTAAATATTGTATTAAAAAATACGAGCTCACGAAATACCTACTTCGATATACTTAACAGGTCATAAAACCGTAATTAATTTTAATTAGTATAAGTAATTAGAGCAATATTTTTGCACTTTAATGAAGTTTGCCCGTAATTCAAAGTAGTTATTTCGATCCCATATTTAATTAAAAAAATTGTCATTTCTAGTCGGTATACAATATAGTACCTAATTTGGGTTGTCTTGTTTCGGGTAATTATGTTTGTACAAGCCATAATTATTTTTATTTTAAATATGCACTCCATTAACAAGCAAGGCTAGAGGATTGTCTATTAAGTTATATTTATTAAATTAATTTTTATAATTAGTATAAAACCCATTAAGATTTGGAAGATTTTCTTATAAGATAAATGTATTAGCGATTAACTAATATATTAGGCATCTAAAAAGAAACCGTGCGATTTCACATGCGATTACCAAATGATAATTCTATTGACATACACGCTCAAAAATCATATTTCTCGTTAATTTATTTACTGGGTGCTCAATGATAATTGACTATCACCAACACAAACATGGTATCTAGTTAGGTATAGGTATTGCTATCATTTATATTGGCCTTGGTGGAGAACATGGACTAATATAATATATTAACTAGGTACATAAAAAATATTGTGATTTTTGTCCAGAAAAATAATCGTGGCAATTCGGTATCGTTCCACTAATCTAGCGTAATAATTGGGCGGAAGCAAAAAGGGGTCTAATGTTCCCGAAAACAACAATGGCCACTAAGCAACAATGATCGCGATGAGATTACTATCAGCTCGCATCGGAGGATCACGCATGTAATAATACTCTGTAAATTACCCAACCGACTAATGTTCAAAAACCAACAATTAGGACCTGAATAGGCAAAGGTAAAATGTGTGTTGAAAACATTAGTGATGTTATTACTGCTATTTAGAAAATTCCTCTGACGAATTTCGATGAAATTAGAAAAAAATTGCTTCATTTAGGTCGGCTCTACCTGGAGGAAAACCATGGGTTCGTTTAATGTTTTCCGTTTGTATAAGTCTGTAGGCGGTCTCGTGATTTATTTTGAAGAGAAGTGGTAACTCGAACAAAGTTTGTTTAGACGAAGTAAAATTATGCTATTAAATTATTATCATGGAATTTGTGCACACTTAACATTATTATTTCTTTTCTTGCAAAAGGTTAGCATTGAGTTGGTAAACACTCATATAGTCCTGTTAGTATAAAAATCAATACGCTATGTAACATGTTGAAAAAATCAGTAATTCCGTGACAACGGTCACTAATTCACACAATAAAAAATTAGAGAAGATTAATTTTCCTCCACACGTTGTCAAAGCCATTAAAACGCGAGCTTTTCTTTTCAGGTTTTATTTGTAAACATCAGCCGAAAGTTTAGCTCTCATTAATTGTATTTCCTACTGTGCATATGAATTAGCCATAAAACTGAAGTAATAAATAATTTTTAATTTCCCAATAAATAAGTACTTTTAATGTCATAAAAATCGCTTTTTATACATTAAGATATTAGGGCTCGTTAATCCCTCAGAAGGATCCAACTTCCAACATAATCCGGCTTTTAATAAAACCGAAACCATAACTTTACGGCTCAAGACTAATTTAAACGTAAAAGGCTTTTATTATGAAAAATTCATCCACTTCCGACTTTTATAGCGACTTTTAACAATAATTATCGTTAAAACTGTTAATTATTTTAGTTTTATGAAAGCATGTGGCAGAGAAGTAGAAGTAGTTAAGAAACAGACAGGCCTCCTGTTACAGTGAGTCCATAACACTTTAATATCGAGATTTTCAACGAGTTTTCGAAAACAGCGGCGTACTTTCTACTATTTAATTTTTTATTGATAATTAATAAGTGGTGAATAAATGTACAAATGAAAATTACCCGTATGTTATGTCAGAAATAAAAATGATTTGATCACAGATGTTCTCTGATGAATAAGGGCGAGAAGAAATATTAGTGAGGGTGTGCTTATTCTTATTGCATGTGGGAAAAGAAACTTGAGAAATGTGGAAAAGTTTAAAAAAATACTTGCAAGTTTTTGAATGTGCTAATTAGAATTTAATATCACTCTATTAGAACTCCTATACCCTTTTTTAATGCTTGAATTATAAATCTAAGTACACCACTGGTGGCTAACACATGGTTAGAATTTTAAATTTATTCAACAACCGACTTTTTGACAAATTGGGTTCCAGGAATCCTTAACCTTTTGAATCTAATTTATCACATTAACAATAGTCTAAATTGGCGTTTTAATTAACCTCAACAAAATGATGGAAAGACTGTTTGTTATATTTAAAAAAAAGAACGAATTTTACTTTCATGAGAATCTTATATGCATAATGAGGTGTTTAAAGCTGTACCTACACATTTTGTTTCCTTTTAATTTAATTTGTAATATCTATAGGTATGAATTTTGTACATATTTCATCAATCATTTCGAATATTTTAGGTCACAACAAAAACAACACGCATTAAACCTTTATGTAATACACTTTAACATGTCCCTTTATTTGAACTAATTTCATTTCACAAAAAGAAGGAAAAGGGGCTATATAACGAAATTTCAATCATGATGTTCTTCGATCCGATATATTATGTCAATACATTACTTCAGAATTTATACCATTATTGACATCATCCAATTTGTTTAATGGATTTATAAGTTAGATAATGCCAGAAAAGTTCACATTCTATTTCGATTATTTGAACACATTCCGCATTACGTGAAACTCTTGAACATGCAAATTGAACATTAAAATAAAAGCCTTTCAATTGAGTGTTGAACGTTAGTGGAAATATTACGCATGTATTCGAGTGATGTGTTTTCGGTTAAATATATTCGAAAAAAAAATGTGTATACACCTACCTAAAATCAATTAATAATTGAGACTATTAAAAATGTTTTCGAGCATATTCAAACCATAATTAATTAGAGTGGATTTTTGTGGATACGATAGGTAAATCGATTCTTTATCAAAACAGAGCTGAATAATTTGCTATTATTCGCGTTGTATTAATTATTAATAATTAAACAACTAACTGAAAGATTTAGAGATTTCTCCTAAATTATCGTAGACATAAAAAAATCGTTTCAAAATACACAAAAGATAAATATGAACGCAATATCTTTTGTCTGCTCCATTTTGTAAGCATATTTTAAACAGAAGATTTTAACGTTATTGGTGAAGCACATTATAAAATAATAAACATGTATAGTTCAAAAATATACCTCACGAAAGTTATGACGGCTCCTCTTTTACCAGTTTACATAAAAATCCTGATTTATTTAACTTTGAATCTTTCCAGAAAGGTGTGAAAAATAGAAAAATATTTTCCTTATCCTCTGGATCTCTGCATGTGTTGCGCTTGTTTTTAATTAAAAACCAATTTGATTGTTTGTTAGTTATTATTATTTCATCTGAATTGTAGGTATTAAGCTTACAGCTATACATTACCTAAACAAGTTTGTGTTTTACGACGAGTTCTTCTAAATATTTGATGTAGGTTGGTGAGAAATCGACGAAATTTAAACATTTTCGCGGAATTATTTGAACGTATTCCTGCACGAAACATACCAATATCGCGTTCTAACAATTTATTATTTGTTACTTTATGAGAACAGTAAATAAATCGTACCTCGTTAGTTAATTAATTATAAACAATAAAATCTTTATTGTGGATAGTATGTGTATATTTCGTATATAAGGAGTAAATTTATTAATTTAACATTTTTCTTATACACAAACACGTAGTTTAAAAATTAATTAATGTTCACCATTAGGTGTAGATTGTGATGCTAAATATATTCAAAATGGAAACAATTTGGGAAAATCTATAGTCTAGAAGATTATACAAAAAGTAAATCCTCAATTATATTAAGAGATGATGGCTTTTATGGAGCTTTACTAAACAAACCTTGATACATAGAAAATTATCTACTGTTATAAATAAAACTACATTAATTAAATAAAAGGAACTTTTACAATTATATACTTAAAATTATAGGTAACTATAGTTTTAACTAGGTATGTATGTATATAGGTACTGAGGTTAGTACTTACACATAAAAATACCAATTATAACCAACAGATTTCGTGATAACATACAAAGTAACCACATCACACGCTAGTCATAAAAAATAACATACAATTTAACACAAAATAAGTAATAAAAACTAGATAATTATTAAATTCATCTAATAACAATCACGATAGAAATTCGCATATTCACGCACTTATTATTAATTAAAAGAAACGAATTTAATTTATTATAATCTTCATGTTAAACAATATTAAATTTAAATATGCTGATTATATTACGAATAATAATATAAAGAATGAACAAAAACGTTAAATAGTTCCCCGTGTAGGATGGTTAATTATATCTAAAATAAATATCTTACCTACCTTACCTAATTACCAAACTATAAAACTTTAAAACCTGTGTTGTGTTATATAAATTCAAAAATTTACGTTCTTTATACGAGAATATAGGTATCATTATAGGCATGTGAAATTTTATTTGTTTTGCAATTAGTTCAGTTAACATAGTTAACATGTTAAGTAGAAAACTTGCACTAACATAAGAATAGGAATTATTATAAGCAACAGAAATTTTATTTTAATAATATTATGAATATTCCTCGGATATATTTGCTGGTTGAAGCGGAAAATCTTGGTGCAATAATAATAAACTCAACGATCCATAAATCCTTTGATAGAGGTGGTGGATTCAAAATAAAAGAAAATGGTTGTTATGGTTAGAAAGTTGAAATAACACATAAAATAAAAAAATATAATAGTGAAAATGCTTATAATAATTATGATTAAATTTTTATACTAAGAGGGACTGTTCAGAATTGCTTATAGGTAGTATATTTGAACATAATTTTTGAGAACTTTTTGAATTATGGTAATTATAATAAAATAGGTATAATGAAATATTCCTTATAAAGAGAACTAATTATTTTGATTATATTTGATGGAATTCCTAAAAACTATATATGGGTAAAATAAGGTTAATACCTTAGTATAGCGGCACGTAGAAATTTCTTCTTTTATAGCTAATTATTTTTAATTCAGGTTATGTTGGTATTTTGTCATTCCTAGCTGTTCCCGTTACTTATCTAATTTGTATTTTAATTTTTTTTTGATGCACTAGAATTTACTAATAAATATATAGAAGGGTAATAAGTTAAATTATTATAAACTAGTATATTTAATATTAAAAACTGAAGTCCTTTAAAATTACTAATTTTGGCGAATGCGCCACTTACTCAATTTTTAGCACATCATCTATCAGCCTCTACAACGTGAATAAAACATATAGTCTTCATTAATATTTAAATCATAATGCCTGATGATTAAAAAATGATATAAAATTAAAATTATTTGAGTAAGGAAGCATTCCTGTCGACACATGAAAAAGCGCATCCACCAAAATTTTGAAAATGTCAAATATTAACATTATCTGAATATAATAGAGAAATAACTTTAAAATGCAATATAAAACACCAGTTTATTTGAATGTGGTGTATTGTTACAAAACGAAAAGGCTTGAACTTGGATTTTTGTTGAAAAGTAACTCAGATTCTCTAGCTGAGGGCTTAATGTATTAGGAACACACATTCACAAAATCTTATAGAAAATTAATTTCACTCAGTTTTGCATAAAAAAATAACAACCGTATATAACACGATTATAAGTTTGTTATTATTTTTGTATTACTATAAAAAAACTCTAATATTTGTAGGTTTAAAAAGTAGTAGTAAGATAGATTATAAATCGAACGGTATATAGAAAGATACAGTTTTGATTCACTTCCCAATAGGTAGGTACAATGCTTATTAAACAATTTCCATTCCACATAGGTAAATAAACAATGGTTAATGAATTAAAAAAATCTTACCGAGCGGAGCCAATGTATCCGGCGGTTCGCGATCCCGACACCGAGAAGTCCTCGCTCTGCCGTGCCGCGACATTATAGCGGCGATGCTAAAGTCTGTCGCACAGGGCCTCATAGTGCAATTCTCCTCCATCATCACCGTACCGGACACATGTTTATCACATCAACAAAAATGTACGAATGATTATATCGAATAAAACGCACCGTTCGCACGGACCGATCCACCGGCAGCTTCCGAAAAATTACCTTACGCGCCTCATTTTCCGGCAGGAACGCGACGCGGCGCTAACCTGAGCTTTCACTAGGTGTGAAGTATTTAACCACAGAAGCAAGCTGTTTTGACAGAATGAATATTTAGATCCCTTTGGTTCGCATTTAACCAGATTACTTTGATATGCAGCGAAAGCCCTCAGATTGGTCGCTCCCACCTCGGGAGGCGTCGCCCACAGCCCGCGTAATTGATAGCCTCCTTTTGTTTGTCCTGGGGCTACTTCTCGCGACGCCGTTCAACGTCAACTGACCACTCCGTCGAGACGTTATTAGAGGAATGTGCCATTTTTTGGGCGAATTTTCCCCCTCTGTTCGGCGTCGATGACATGCTAGCTTTTTGTTTTAGCCCCCTGTACGTCTCGCTTCTCTACTACCTGGGCGGTGTTTTAATATATACAGACCGCCACCAGCAGCGTCACCCATCCATTACAACAGGATTCTTTATTATTTTCAATTTAATTCATACACTAATTTTCTACTATGCAAAATTTACTAAATTTTCACTCTATTCTATATACAATCTAACCATAAGTTTCACAACTTTACTTTAATCACCTATTACTCTACTACTCTAAATAATAAACCTACATTATTAAAGTAGGTACCTACCTATGCAAAATTATATCTAATACATCCCCTTAAAAAATTTTTTGTACTTATAATAAATATATTATGAAATTAAATATGGATAAATCGTGCTGTGGCCCGTTCGTGGGGTACGCCAGTGAGCGGGATCCTTTCTTCTGGGATTGTTTTGATCCGTGAAATCGCGAGGACGGGAGTGGCTGCGCGCCGGCCCGCCTTCGGGGTGGCGCCGCTCGGGCGAGGACGCCTTCCGGACGTCGAATATGCCGCGTTCGTTTGATTTGCCTACCTGTTGTGGTTGCTTTTTTATTAGACGATAATTGCCGGCGAACCTATAATCTTGGCGACTTTCGGAAACTGAGCATCTGTTCCGAAAACCCGGCGAAACGGATCGCTCGGCGGCGGGTCGATCGAATTCGACGCTTTGTGGAGTTTTTTTTTTTAATTGGGAATCGATAAATGGTTGGAGATGTTTTGGAAATTAGAGAAATATTTTAATTAGTTGGGGCCTTAGATGAAGCTCTAAAAAATAGGTAGAGATAATTGATAAGGATTTTGATGATATCATCAATAGAAATTGCAAGTTGCTGGTATAGATACAAATTTGAGAAAGATTTATATTTTGATGGTTTAGAAATGGCATAGTGATACATTTCAAGTAGCCCAGTTGTGGTTTAAATTGTTATCAACATCAAAATTTTACAGTCGATTGTACTTTATTATAGCTTTTGTATAATTTTAAAACTTCATTAATGCGTTGCTCATTGTTTTTTATAAGGCTTATACAAAATTTTAAACCGTTCATTAATTTTTTATGTATAACCGTATTAAAGCGGTATTATAAATAATTCATTATTTTATTGCTATAATTTAAATCAAATGTTTTATTATTGCGATGATTGATATTTTTATTGTAAATATGCTATTGAATTTTTAATTATAATGTTTTTTTAATAATTATATTGCATTATTTGTTATCGGCGCATCCATTAAAAATCGTAAAATCGTGAATTAACGAAATAATAAATCCATTTTTAATAAATTTATAATAACGCATTGTCAAAAATTCATTGTTTCGTTAATAAAAATTCAAAAATTGTATTCTCGTTTCACAATAAGCAATAAATGCTTTCATTCCCATTTACCATTAATCCGAATTTATGGGATTTTTTAATGTTATGTAGAAAATCTGTAATATAAATTTTTATATCTCCCAATTTTTTATTGTTATCTTATATTAAAATATGCTTTCGAATACATTTATGTAGAACCAAAAAATTCAAAATGGAACCTTACTTTATCAATACATTTCTTTCCTGTAAAACCAAATAAAGTATCGAAAACAGTCGAATCGCATATATCTCGCAATGTCAAGAGATGTCTCTAAACAAAACGTAAAGCCGGAAAACAAACTCCCTCTCCACGTATCCGGACATTGATTGTTGGAGACGAGCACATAAGTCTTTTCCCCTGGCCACCACGTGATTTGTCCGCTAATCGCCGTTGCCTGGGGACTTGTAATGGGTCCCATCTAGAGTACATTTCACGTTCCCGACTCCCTACCAATCTAGAGGCTATCAGGGACGTGTACATGCACTTTTTTTGCAACTTATTATAGCCAATTTTTCCACTAGAATTATTCAATAATTATTGCATACCTATCTAGTAAGAGGCTGAAGATGGTGCTTTTGAAGAGGTAGAAACGTAATTGTTGAAGTACATGTTTAATTGATAGATTTTATAAAACTAATATGGAATCAATTATTATAATTTAGGACTTGGTATATAGCAATCTTGAAACAATAGTTGTAGATGCACATTAATTCAATTTGTAGGATCATTATAGAAAAAAGTGCAATTAAATTTTGCCTAATCCCATGCACGCCACTGTCTATCTATCTAGATTCTATAAGTGGCCGGAGGGCGTCGCTTCAATTATCCACCGTTCGCATGCGACTGATTCTTTTTTAACTCTATAGGACTTTGGGGAAGGAACTTCTTTAAGCTAATTGTCAGATAAATAAATGAAACACACTTTTTTTAACGGAGTTAATTAAGTAGCAGATAAAAGACATGGGTAATTGGGAAAGCCGAGCGTTTAAAAGACCCAACGATTTGCATTAATTGTACATTCTGATGTTTATGGATTAAGATTAAGCATGTTCGGTGGGTAATTCGGAGTTACATAAATTTAATTGACGCTGTTTTATTATTGGAACCGCAAACTGGATGGATCTTCGACAAGAATTGGTATTATATCAAAAATCGCCAATCTAATAGAAGATTTTTTATATACCAACAGTAAACTTACTTATGTCTTTGAATAAAGCACGTTCGAATAAAACTCCTAAGCAAATAATACAAAAATAGGCAGCTCTTAAAATTTATGGAATCCAATAAGCTTCGAGAGAGGATGAATCGGCATTACATGATCAACTATTTTATGGGCCTTTGTTCTGCCTTCTGGCGGAATCTTAAGAATCGAAGGAATATAGGAATTCCATTTCGGTTGGTCACATAGTCACATTTTGTACGTACGTGATGGTCCTTTGAATCATCGTAAACTTTTATTGGATCTACTCTCGAAATCGCCGGACGAAAAGAAGCCGGTGATGAAGATAACGGATGAGCCGTTTAGGACGAGGCCACCGATTGTTCCGATTCGAACGAGACGACTCCATGCGAGACATATAATGAAATCGAAAACCGAAAAGGGTATATAACTTTGGGGGATTTCGAACTTGCAGAAAAGGAATATGAGTTTCCCTTTTTTTCTATATGTCTATAGGTAATAATTTATCAAAAAATTCTTCATTAATTTGCCTGTTTTTCAAGTAAACTTTTAGGCTATTTAACAGGGTTATTTTAACGCTATAAATCAGGACTTCGACCGTTCGAATTCGGTAGCAGGAATACTTAGTAACGTGCTAATGAGGATCCTCGTCTCTGCGCCGCCATTCATCACCGAAACCAAGGCGAGAGGATGCAAGGACGACAGAAAGGGCCACCCGAAGGGCACTAAACGCGTTAGCGGACTCTGGTACTCCCGACTTCCCCAATAAATCCTCAAGTAACAAACAGCCTGCACAGCTAAGCGGATTCTAATCTATCCCTCGGCGATATTTCACAACCCGCTCTTCTATCTCGCGCCAACGAAAACCGTTCAATTGCACTCGGACGTCCTCTATAATCCTATGCATTTTTTACACAATACAAAAAAAACTAGAAGTAGAATTTATGGAGTTCCTACTTTAGTAGGTAAATGGATTGAATACAAAAGTATCTAGACATTCTTTTCTTCATCAGAGTGAGTGATATTAAACATCACATTGTTAGAAATTTTGTTATTTTAATTTCAATATGCTATAGTCCACCTTAAATAAATTTTAGCAAAAGTGAATGCCTTGCCTTACAATAGACTTTAGTTTTGGAAGGTTCTTTAGGCTTTGGTATTTTTCATCAAAAAGGTTTAAAGATCCCATCAACATTGGTAAATTATCTCTTCTTAATTTTATAACAATAGAGAATTATTTTGATATACACTGGTGTAGATAAATTAGATGTTTGGAGTCAAGTGCAGTTTTCCGGGAGAGTATTCCCGTATCTGGTTGTTAAGCGGCCGAATTTCGAGCCTGAATTCCGACGTTTCTGGGCGCGATGCCGTTGCCTCTCTGACAAGGAAATATCGCCCAATGTTTTCCGTCAAATTGTATTATCTCGATCTCCGCGTTTGAAAATTTGTTGTAGCCGCCGCTCGCCGGATATCGCCCGTCTGCGTATCAGCCCCAGCACCGGCGAGGTTTATTCAAAACGAAAATGTCCGAGTTCACCTTGCCTAATTTACGGTTTGCTTGGCGGAGAATGGGAAATTTATCAATTCGGATGATGCATCCCCTTTGATAGAGAAATAGAATAGTCACAAAAAATTGTTGTGTAGGTGTAATATGCACTTGTAAAAGATAACGTGATTTTTGTCGATGGAATATTTAATTTAAACCTGTAGGTATCAACTCAATTTGCATAAGAACTAACTTTTTATCATGGTATCCCTTGATATGAAAATTCGAATAACGAGTTTTTCCTCTCCTGATGCCGCTCAATCGTTTTCTATAACCATTTACCCCGGGATCATTTGGCTGGAACGTTCAGTGATAAACCTTTAACCAGCTTGTGTTTAATTTGGAATAATAAATAATTACCCGGTTTTTTAATCTCGTGTACAAATTGCTCTGATTTACACCAAGATATTTTACATGGGATTTTTCATTTCCGGGCTTTGTAAAACCCATTTAAGATAATTGAAATTGACCGACTTTTGCATTAAATATTCTGCCTGCAACGGGAGTGAAGTTTTCGAAAATTATAATGCTAAACACTGTTAAACCGAAGGTATTTCAGATGACATTTATTTTTACGCTATATTCGTAATAAAAACTGTTCTGCCGCCAACGATAACAATGCTGAAAATATAACTTTAAATTACCTGCATACATTAAAGCGTACTTAACCGTAAAAGCTAATGAGTCGGTAGTGGCCGTACAAATAACCGTAGTAGTTTCAGGGTAATTATTGGAGAAATTTCATTATAACTACCGGCCGGGAACACGTATATTCATTACATACCTTTATGCATAATCTCTATCGACGTTATTAGCATAAATCATTCATATTTCCAATTCTATAACGATAATCATAGTAGTATAGGTATCTACTGATGACACCGAAATGGATTGAGAAAACTTAATGATTGATTTTAATAACTCCAATAAAAAGATATTAAGATTATATAAGTATAAGATGCATTGCAATAGGGTTTTTTTGGAATGCTTCACTGGGTCTTTTGCTCCAAATAATTAATAAATTATTGACTTATTTTGTAACATAATGTATACCAATGAAATAGATTCTATTAGATTAAACTATTCAAATTGTCATCATTCTCATACACTTATTGGCGATCATTTCTATAATTCTACGCCGTCTATGCTTAATGCACATGCATTATTAATTAAAGTCGGATTTAATCGTCATTATACAATGGGAAATTAGCAAGTAAGTCAATTATCGTTTCAGGTTTTTTATTATATTTCCGCTTTTATAACAAATTGTACCGGCTGTACGAGCAATAGTCATAATAGCATATTTTTTATCATCTTTATAAACATACCAGTATTTGCATTCGTACTTACATATTTTTTTGATAATAGATAATGTTATTTTTTACAAGAATACTACAAGGAAAATGTTCAATTGCATCAGACATCAGACACATTAAAAAAACATGACTTCGAGTAATTTATTAGGTGAATATTACAAATGCAAATTTGAACGTAATTCTTATGCTTATAGAGGTATCTGATTTTAATACCTGATTTATATTTTTTAAAGTAATGTTCTCTTATTAGAGTATGGCGAATTGTATATGCAATTCTGGCAGTATAAATAGCACCTATTTATCAAACTGCTCTGATGCATTAAAATAAACTGTTGCGCGTTTTTACCATCAATCTGTCACTATCATACAATTGTCACATGCATCTCCAGTAAAACATCAGACTAATTCAACTCTTTCATTTGAGTGTCAGTAATGGTAAGCTGGCGTAATTTATAAACTGGAAATTATAGAGACGGACTTACGGCGTTTAATTTTAAATGCGCAAATCCCACACCAGTCTCCGAGCCAATGAGATGTCTTCATTTTTTTAATCACTACCTTATAGACATAATTCCCTGGAAATTATCCTGAATATTTCTGCAGTTAATTTTCCTTATACATTCATAAATCTTAGGCAGATAGATATCTGCTTCATGCATCTTCTTAAGATTAAATCTCCCTTGTTTCTTGTTAATTATACAGAAAAATAACTTCAAATCGAATTAACGATTTCTAATCGGACCGAATTCGTGATATTCCTCGGCCCGCTTCTGGCGGAAGTACTAAAAAAAATGGCCATAACAATCACGTCTCAGTACTGCGGCTTAGTAGCGGAGTACATGCGTACGTCGCAATGACTGTGCTTTCAAGCATTAATTTACACGATACCTTATATGGGAAACAACATGGCGCCTTCGGACCTCACACTGCTCAAGCATTTGCATACGATCGGATTGGCGCAGCAAGACTTTATGTTACGCTTTTTTTTTAAACTAATGCGTAAAGAAATTATTGCGGGACAGCGGGAAATAGAGGGAGCAATCTAAGCTCTAAGATTCACAATAGGAATTGTTGTAGCAATATTCGGATTTAGAAAGTTTATACCAATTAGTGTATTGGTAGCTCCAATATTAAATGAATCGATTTATTGGATGCTACGTTTATATAAAATAGGAAATGTTTAATCGCACAGCTATTTTTACATTAATTTTCTAATGCTATTTCTATGTTGGTGGAGTAATTAAAGTGGAGGTGCTTTTTTCAACTTTCTAATTGTCGGTATAAAACGAAAACGATATCAAGATTGGTGTCGTTAGTTTGCAATCAATTGTGGAATAATTGAGCACTTAAAGCGCAAAAAAATGTTTAAACAAAAAACCAAACGACAAGTACTAAGTGGTACAGATAATGTGACACAACACACGAAAGCAAATGCGAGATCGTTTATTTTGTTTAATTAATCGCAAACGCTTTTATGGCTTTTATCAGCGAATATAGTTTTAATGAAGCATTATCATCGGAAAGTAAAATTTTTTGGCCAACATATGAGTCATAATTTTTGGATCATTACTGCTGTTTTGACGCTCGAAATACTAAAATTCGGATGCTTCTTTTCTCGGTACCAATATTAATAAATAACGAACCTATTGAATTTAAACTACCTCCTTGAAAAAAACGAAGAAGAGACAAACCAACAGTTAAATAATTCAGAATGAAGATGCTGGTAGGTGTCTAGTTTCTAAGTAATAAAGTAGATGATTTATAGAGTGTAAAAGGAGTGAATTACTTACCTGCTATCAAAGAATACCTGTTCGAATAACGAATAAAAGAATATTTAATATTTATACATCCTGTGTAATCATGAAAGGAAGGAGTGAAATGAAATATAAATCTTTTAATTTGTCACTGTTTCTTGGGCATGTATTCCTCGCGTAGGAGTATTTACGATCGAAATATGTTAATCGAGTTGTATTGGGGAATGCCACCGGCTTCTGTACATTTATTCACACCAGCTACGTATGTACATATTTATTCTTTATTAATTTTTATGTCGATTAAAATCTGTCAACGTAAATATCTTTCACGAATGCTTGTTTTCAGAATGTATCACAACAAAAATATATTATATTAAATAGCCGTCTTCGTGATAGTTTCGTGTAAAACCAGAGGCAACTTAAAATTCTAATTTTATTTTTTTGCATAATTACTCAATAACTGAATTCCTTACATCTACATATACATTACAATTGTCTTAATTAATGCACTTTCTTCTGACTAATTATTGCGTTATAAGAGTAACTATTTGTTTAAAAAAAGCAAGTCATAAACTATTTTCCTTTCAATGTAGCGTCAATTGTTTGTTTACCTCTGCAATTGCATTCTATTAAAGTTTAACACGCTGTATAGTCGAAGGGCGGATTGTTCAACCCATATCTTTCACCTTTTATTCAAATTCCCATTCGATTATACACCTCCGATTATACTCAATTATGTAAATACGGTCTGCTGCATTATGTAGCTCGTTTTCATAACATTGTGACAGTTTTTTCTCCGATGTAAAATATGTACGACATAAAGATATCTATTAATAACGTTTTAATGGAGAAGAAGACGATAAATGGTATGATAAAATGCGAGCTCTTGTGCAACAAAAATTCGAATATCTATAAAAAAATAATTTTATTCGGTGAGAGTAAAAATGCAGTGTTTTATATCGGTGACAAAAAATTTAATATTTCGAATTGGAAATTACACCGTTTGTACCAGAACAGACAATTTATATAATTTACGATCTCATTTATACAGTGTACGCGACTCACGCGGTTGAATTAATTGCCTCCGAAATTTCCGAAACCTAATAAAAAATTAATTATGAATAAATTGACACGAAGCAATAACATAACTAAAAGCAAGAAAAACGTTAATTTGCGTTTGAAATGTTATTGCTGGCTACGGGTACCTACATAAAATACTTTAATTTGCGGTATACTATAAAAAAATTTCATGCGTCGGTTGTTACTAATGTCTCAATTTGGACTCGGGACGGTTATAATTAATAGTAAATTAATAGAATAGACGGTTTGTAATAAATTAAGTTTTCTAAAACGGTCTAATTATCAATTTTCGTTTATTTATTGTGTTATCGTCGTCGTATTTTCTTTTAGAGATGGAATTATTAGTGTATGTTCCTACAACAGTTTAACTAATTAAGCTTAAAAATAATTCGTTGTAATTTACTAAGAGATTCGTTGAAATAAAATTTTTAATTTTCATTTATTCTTTGACAAATCGGCCTTATGATAAAGAGCGACTTGTAAATGGTTACATTAATCACGTTGAATGATTTATTTGGCAAGTGTAGCTTTAATGTGAAGGAACATCAACAAACAACGACTTTTGTATAATATAACGCAAACAGAATCTAAAACAAGAAATAAACAGCATTCCTAAGCAATGTCGCTAGAGAAGAATTCATTGTGGAAAACCAATATACATAATCAATTTCCATAACAATACATTTCGATAGGTTTAAAAAATGGAACTATACCAAACCTACTATCTCTTCCTTACTGATGTTAAAACTTCATTAAATATTTCTAAAATCTACACCCCTACCACATGATTAATCGAGACTGCACATTAAAAGTGCATTTCAATAACTCGTCTCTTATAACCCATTAATGTTTAAAGTAGCTCAATCTAAACAAATTTTTAACTAAACCGTCTGTCTCTCAATTCGTCAAGTACCTACCTCCCAAAGGCATGGGGTGAAACGTGAGCGGTAAAGATTAAAGATAACGTGCAAGCTTCATAATTTGCGTCTGGAAATATGATTATCAACAAGAAGTTTTTTACTCGAGTCTGAAATAATGACTTCGAACGAGTGTAGAAAATGTATAAGAATAGAAATAATTTTCTATATACTTATAGTGAAATACATTTACGATGTTTGTAGGATATTTTTGAATAAAAGTGTCATATTGATTTCCAATTCTTTAAGAAAAATTTGTTTATTTAAATTTTACTGATAAAATGTTATCAATTTCTTTATCATATTCAGTGACACACGAAATTTATGAAAATAACAGTCTCAAGTGCTTATTACTATTAGTACAGCAGGTGTACCTGATATAGGAATTAGTATCCGAGTAATACTGTTCCAAAATGGAATTAAAAAACTTGCTATTCATTATTGTTAGTGTATCGTGCGTGGGAAAAATCCACAGTGCGAAAATTTTAGGTTTATTTCCCTTAGCTGCGGGAAGCCATTACAGTCTAGGAAACACATTAATGAGAGGACTGGCCGAAGCTGGACACGATGTAACGATGATAAGTCCTCACAATGATACGAATCCAGTTAAAAATGGAAGTTACAGAAACGTAGTTTTAACCGGATTTGTCGAATCCTACGCAGGTATGTAATATCGAAGAATGACTGCTACTGTATCTTACATAACTTACGTTTTGTGTTAGCTACAATGAAGAAAATCAACTTGTTTAGCCAACAAACCATGAACTCGTTCACTTATTTGCTCAAATTCCAAAAGGCTACCACCGCGTTAATGGAGAAAACCTTCCAGCACCCGAATATCATCGAACTTTGTAATTCAAATGAAACCTTCGATGTTGTTATAGTGGAACAAATGACCTCCGAAGCCTTTAAATACTTCGCCTATCATTTCAAAGGGCATTTGGTGCTCTTCTCTTCGGTGGGCGCTGAGAGCAAAATAAACTACGTTGTCGGTAACCCAACAATGGTTTCGTTCACGCCACTAATCGATACAGATTTCCCCAGAGACATGACTTTGTATCAAAGGATTTACAATTTCTTGCTATACACGTTTGAGGCTGCTGTGTATAAATATCACTGGTTGCCATTTCTGGATACTCTAATCCAAAAGTATTATCCAGGAGCACCGTCAATCTTCGATATAAACTACAATGTTTCGTTGGTTCTGGTTAATCATCACGAAAGTATACAAGAGAGCGTTCCACTGGTGCCCAATATTATTCCAATAGGTGGATTCCATGTGCAAAAACCGAAACCGTTGCCGAAAGATTTGGAGGAATTTTTGAATCGGGCCTCAGAAGGTGTTATTTACGTTAGTTTCGGTTCGGTGCTGAAAGTCGAGAACCTACCGGTCGATAAAAAAGAAATACTAATCAGAACTTTCGCAAATATGAAGCAAAAAATCCTGTGGAAATGGGAAGGAGATGATGTTGATAATTTTCCGCCGAACGTTAAAACCGCTAAATGGTTGCCACAGAGAGATGTATTAGGTAGGTTAACTGTAGTAAAATATATTGTGGTACCTAATCAATTATTTTAGCTCATCCCAATGTGAAACTGTTTGTATTTCCTGGAGGATTGCTCAGTCTAACCGAAGCTATTTCTAATGGTGTTCCAATTTTAACGATGCCAATAAATGCTGATCAGGCAACAAACGGACAAATAGCCGTATCTAACGGATATGGTCTGAGCATCACGTTCCGCGATCCGAATTTTTCTGAGGAAAAGCTAACTTCAATGATAAATGAGTTATTAAACAACTCAACGTATGTTCTAATCTAAATATTATTCTATAATATGTTCATATGCAATAAGATTGTTTAAAGGTTCAAGGAAAAGGCGATGGAAAGGTCTCGATTATTCCACGATCGAGAAGTTCATCCGCTTCAGAAGGCTGTGTATTGGATTGAGCACATCATACGTCATGGTGGTTCCCATTTGAAAGTTTGGGGTGTAAATTTGCCTTGGTACCAATTTTATTCCTTGGACGTACTCGGAATTGTAGTAATGAGCGTCGCAATTTTACTTGCGATTTTATGTAGAATTGTTAAAGTTTCGAGAAAAATTATTTGCAATGTTACTCGAGGAAATGTAGGAAATAAGAGCAAGAACCAACATCGAGGAAGTAAAAAAATGAAGAAACATTAGAACAGATTATGTTTGATAATCAGTCATACAATTTTGTAATAAATTAACTGTAATATTTTTTCGAAAAACAATCCCTAACTGCAGACATAACAGAAGAAAAAAATAGTCTAGGGACGCAGACAATAGCAAAAAGCCGCACGACATCTGGTTTGGAACCCTTAAGAAAAATGGCTTGTCTCGAAAAGAGTTTCATTTTTTCCAAAGGTTTGAAGTACCTGCCTATGGGCGCCTTTCCTCTTCACAAAGACTTCACAACAACACTCAAGTTGACAAATTGGCTGATTATAATTTTTAATCAGACCCCGAAAGTAATGCCCTAATCTAGTACTAAACACGGCTAAGTATAAACATGATCCCGGCTTTTTACCGACTCAATTCCTATACAGGACCGTACCTCAAACACAAAAAAAATTATTTCTGCCTATAAGAATTAGATACTAGAACTAACTTTAATACATCAATTGTATAACATTTCTACCTACTTTTTGATGCCCAATGAATAGTATTGACATATTATTTAATCATCATTAAGAAAAGAACTTATCTAAAACTCGTTCGTTAATTTCCCGGTTTAGAAGCCCCTGTCGCGACTAACGGTGTTCCAAAATAAAAGATGATAGATTCTGTTTAATATTCTCCTTTGACATTCGACACCCGCCTCTTGTTCGAGAGCCATTTGGTCGCGATAACACCCCCGAACAGATGTCTATTTCACCGTAATTATCCCTATAAAACACGAATGAAAAAACTTGAACGGCTCCTATAGTTGCGTATCTAAATTACAGCGGACGATAAATTTGGTTAATAGAATCGTTTAAGGGCTGCAATGACCCGGGGTCGAACGCATTAATAGCGCTCAAGCCAAAAGGTGTCTGAAATTTTCGGGGTAGCGGACCGGTTTTAATGTCCTAGAACGGATCTTTTAAATATTTACATCCCAAGATCGACTCTACGAGAATTAATAGCGAATTAATCGAAATTATTGCAGCAGCGCTTATTTTCATTATCTAGATACACAACGAACAAAATGAAAAACACTTGAAACATTCACGTTCAGATACGCGGAATCTATCGATCAAATTTACAAGCGACGCGACCAAAAAACAGGATCCAATATGATTAATACGGGAATGGTCAATGGGGTCTTTATTATTCATCCCCAGCGGTCCCCGGAGTGACAGAATTTACATAGGATATAAAGCGATAGCTTTTCTGTTATGACAGGCAGACATCAAGCTCAGTTAACGACACACAATCATAATTACCGCTATCAATTTACCAGCGGTTTAGCAATGGTCCTATTAAAGTGATTAATACACTTGTTTTTTCCGCGGGATCTCAACACGACAATGCGCCTGTTAAAAAATTACCGGGCGAATTCCAATTGCATCAAGGTGAAGAATTTTCGCAAAGTTCAAATAATCACAGCATTTATTAGTCTGTGGTGTCTGAATATTTCAGCAAACGTGAGTAGCGTTCGATGTATCTTGAAGAATGAGCGTTTAATCCGATGATTGATGAGAACGAATTAGAATGGCTATAAGTCGATTCGATTCGGCCCGTTTAACTTGATGAGCTCCGTGACTGTTGGGGTACTTTTAGTCGCCCTGAACTTTTTCGGGTGGACGTCGCATAAAAAACTCCGGTAATAAAAGCGCCTTAGTGTAAATAATAGGACTTGTCGGGGTTCTCAGGTTTCTTTAGGTTTTTCATCGAAAAAGTAGCCTAATTTGGTCAGTATAGAAGGAATTCACAACCTTAAGTTGGAATGATTTTAAATCGATTTATCTGCACTATCACGAATTTTCATAGCGGTATTTAATTGATGTTAATCGCTAATCGGATTTTAATTTTCGCTCAAAATGGGTTGGTATTCATTTTATGCTTTAACGAATGCCTTTAGCACTCTTCATTCATTGCACACAGAATTAGCTTGAAAACTGCAATGAAAATAACATTATTTAATAGTCCGGTAAAAATTTATTGTGTTGAACATTTCATCATAAAAAAATTCGTAATTACTCGAATTAATTGCGTATGGAGATGTAGCGAAATACCTAGTACCTATAATTTGATATGTATTTAATAAACTAAAAAATGACTGTACTATAAACGATGTACATTAAATAGCATACTCGCTTAATAGATATTTGATTAAATATTGTTAAACGCTGTTTGCATATGGCTTTACTAATTGATCATCCTCTTATGTAAAACAGCTGCAATAAATAATCTCGGGACTTATTACGTGATTTTTCTTTTGCACTAAATTAATTAGATAATTAGACTTAAGCGAATATTAATTACGCGTTCGAGACTGATTTATTAAATATTCATGATAGCGTTTTTCAGGATGTTTTCGAGAACACATACCAGGTAATTAAAGTAGCGGGGCTGCATTCTTGGGTCCACCCTTCTTACCATTTCACCGTCATTACCATACACTTTAGGCGCATCTTCGACATGCTGATACCTACCTCCCTTAAGCACGTCAATGTAACATATGTAATGGGGACTCCACAGGTGGGCCATTGCTCCCTACGGCCACTAATAAAATTAAACGATTCCAGTTTTTCAAACAATTACTATCAGTTAAAAGTTATTGAAATTTATTCAAACATTTTGACACGAGAAATGATACCTGCAAGTGAGAGAAACACGTTATTCTTGGCGGGGCTCTCAGCAGTATTATCGAGAAATATGACGAGATGCGCGCTCGTTTGATTTACATTCGGACGTCGCGATGTCGCCATCGAAAAATCCAATTTTACAAGACTTTTACAACAATCGTCCGTGCGTTAGAATAAGCACGTAATAAATTCGGCAATACCGCAATCGGCTCGTTAGCGATAAAATCGCGAGTTGGCCAACTCTTCCTTCGTAAATTCGAAATTCCCTACCTAACGCTAACATAATTTAGCTTCGCGTGTGGTCATTAGCCATTATATAAATTGGGATTATGATAATGAGAGAGTATATTTCATCGTATTATCAATTTGTTATTGCCACGGTATGCGTGTTGAATTAATAGGGGTGGTCCATTGGGATAGAGGAACGCTCTCCGTGGCCGTTACTAACAAGAATAATGCCGAACACGCGCCATCTAATGGCGAAGGCGGACAATCGGAATAAAGCGGACACGTGACCGGCTATCATCCCCCCGGTGTTTTTTTCACAAACCGGCTAGTTTTATCTTTTCATGCTAAACTGGATTATTTGTCGACGAGTCGATTCGATAACTCGCTTTTCAATACGACGATATCATCAAAATCCGACTCTATATTGCTAAGTTCTCATCAAACTCAGTCGTTTCGGGATTTTAACTCGTTAAAATAAACGCGCTGCTCGAATCGCTACTTGTTTATCCCCTGGAATCTTTAAATTTACAACAAACGTCATTCGCCTCCATTAACTTGGCTATGCTAGTGTTTCCAGTTGCTTACTTGTTAAGTTTCTAAACTTCCTCTCTTAGTCCAGTCAAGAAATAGTTTGTTCCATTCCCAATCCTCACCAACATTATCCCAAACACAGCGCTTTATCAACGCTTCCTTTAACGCACCATTTCATCAACCAGAAATTTGTTATAAACGATTCAACTGCACCTAATTCAAATCAACTCTCTTCAAAAATAAGACCAAAAATAAGAGGAGTACCTACCTATTGAATGGGAATTGTTATTGGTGTCGACTGGTCTAATATTCTGAGCGGAGTGTAACGAAGCATAGGGAGCATCGCGGATTCCTGGAGAGGCGAAACATCAGGATGACTAGCAACTCGGGCACCATTCGTTCTTATCAATGTCAGCGCTAAGCAGATTACGTTCTAGTGACGCGTGAAACCGACTGTAATCCTCACTGACGAACGTTACTTACGAGCCCAATCAAACGCCACACGTGGCGCAGAATCTTCGGGCTCCGCTCCATCGTGATCCGTTGGGATTTTGTCGGTGTATCGGCAATATCGGGCGATCATAATCATCCTGCAATTTTCCCGGGTTATCTAAATTGTTATTGATGAATGTAACGAAACGCTGGTGCACTTGTAAGTTGATGTAAAGTACGGTAAATTCTCCCTCGCTGTATGAATCGTGCCCATTTTTATGCCGTGTGCATGACAGGTTTAGTTCATATTTTTGAATTATACTGTAGCAGGGTTCTTTTTGATGTACCAATTTATGCTGTGTACCAGTAAATGAAATTTATTCGACACGAATTTCGAATCGAACGATGTTTAACTACAAAAAATATTTATGCTAATGAAAATATAACATTTTCCAGATGAAGGTATTTACGGGCATTTATTTGTAATAAGTAAATAAAGTTCAATCAGGCTATTTTTGATTCGTTAATACTGCTACAAAGAGAAAATCTAAACTGGTTACAATTTGACAACAAAAAAACAGAAAACTCAATCATATTATTTGAAAAACCTCAACTGCATTGTCATTTAATCTCCATTTGCGATGGGTCCGTTAAAATAATCTTTTCACCCATTGTCGAACCGAATGCGCGAAATAAATCACTGTTCCAGCCTGTTGAGCAGGTTTCCAAACGCAATAATTTATATAGTTTCAAACCTCTAAACACACCCTTAACACGACAAACCCACATATTGATGCCGCTGTTGCCGAACCAGATGCACGTACCGGAGAGAAGATCCATCATTTAACCGCGGGACGTCTTTCACAATTGACCACTGGTCATTTTCGGCTTTTGTCCACGCTCCAAATTCGAGCACGAGTTACTTGAGTGAGTCATCAAGATCAGCTGCCAATATGCATAAATGGCCATCATTGTATCCGTTCAGAATAGGACGATTTTAAACAAATACCATGTATATAAAGAGTTAAATTGTTGTGCATTATTCTTATGTTGATTCGATTCAGAAGACAATTTTAAGCTTCAATGCAGTAAAATAAATTATTGTTATATATTACTTTTACTACTACCTACATTCCCTATCCAATCAGTATAAGTTTTATATTATTTACATCCTGTATATAATACAATAACCCAATGTTTCTAACCAATTCCGCAGCTGC